TTCCTCTTGATGTTCAGTAACTATTTGCTTATTGTTAGAATAGGAAATGTGAATGTGATTACCAAAAGGAGAAAACTGTGGTGCATATTTGTGAATTACCTTGGCAATTACTTTAGAAAACCACTGGAAAACAGATATACCAGAATTAATTATTTCTGCTCTATGAACCCTTCCTGTAATACTGGAGATTGCCGACACAACAGTTTTTAGAAAGTTTGACACTTGGTCAATCAGATCTGATTCAGCAGAAAGACTGATAATTTCACTAACAATACTAATAGATCTTGGAACACAATCTTTTTCGTTGATATAAAAATGGAAATAGTTCGACTGTTCATCTTTTAGAATTCTTTCTTTGAACTTAACATCAGCCAGCAAGGGAACTCCAAAACCAATGAATTGAATTGGTGGTTTCTTGATGGCCTTTGCTTCAGTAGCTTGCATCAATCGCGTTGCAAGGATGGCCCCAACTGCTCCACCCATGCTGTGTCCAGTAATAACAACTTGATAACCTTCGTTAATCTTTTCTAAAAAGTAATCAAGTGGAATGAATTTGGCTCTTTCCAAGAAGCCACTATGTAAAACGCCATATCCATAGTAATTCATGGCAGGGATCAACTTTACATCTGTCAAAATATCAGACTTGGAGTAGGAACCTCTAATTGCTACAACAATTCTTTTACGATTTTCATCAGAACAATCAGCCACAACATATCTTGTTTCAAGTGTTGCCTTTGCGTCCATATCATTAGTAATACTACTACATAGTTTCTTGATACCATGCTCAAATTGGGAATACTCCTTGTTTAATGTGTACAATGGATCAGGCATGTACGAAATTTCACAAGCAATGGCACAAGTCAACAACAGTTGACAGTATGACTTTGCGTCTGAATAGACCTTGTTATCTTCAGATAATACAGATTCAAGAACCATTTGGTTTTTTTTGACTTAGGAAACGAGAGCAAGAAATTAAATTGACATTGACATTCTTCAAACATTACAACGAATTTTGTGATTTTGCTTGCTATTTTTGAAAATTAAGAACTGATTTGAACTAAAAATCAATTTGATTGTTTTTTTATTGTGTGCCATCAAGGTTGTCCCTAGCTAAAAGCGATTTCCTAGCATTTACAGTTTAATCAGCTTGATGAAAAATGTGGATTCAATCCAAAAGAAAAAACTGTAAATACTTGATCATATTAATTCTGTCCAAAATCCTAATCAACATCACATTTTGAAAATCCAAGGCACACAGAATGACAAAAAAGCAAAATCACGTTTCACATATTTAAAAAAATGTCTTTACCATTCCATGACATTTCATTCTCCTTTGATTGTGAAAGTGTACACAATTCCGAGACTCATGGCCATATGAATCTGTACACTCTCCTAAAAACAAGTAAATTCGATACAAATCAATCAAATTCTCTACAGGGATGGTGTTCTCCTATTCAACAACAAGAATTATTGCACCTCATCAGGAGTAAATTGGGATTTACTCGTAATTGTTACTTATCTTTGGTTTTTTCATGTGATGAGAATAGACCATTCGATTATTCATACTTCCACAATGTTCAAGCCAAATACAATCAACCAAATCTGATATTATTCGAAACAAATAGTGGTTCAATATTTGGAGGATTTACCAGTAAAGCTTGGGTAAGACAACGATCAGACGTGGAGAATGTTAGAGATGAGCATGCCTTTTTATTTTCCATCAACTTGAATCTTAACAGTGATTCTCCAATACAGAGCATCACCAATGAATCATGTGAAAAATCCAACTTGCACATTTATGGATTGGCTCATTTCCAACAAAAAGTTGCCATT